CACAGGCTAAGGACCGCCCGGCCCAAGAGGCAGAGAGCAGAGCACTGGTCCGAGGCCATCCCTCTTTCAGTGGCTGCTGTGGGCCGTTCGTGCTGTGGCCACAGTGTGCTCCTCCCTAGCGGACCTGGAGGGCGCACCACCAGCCCCTGGGTCCTGGCTGTCCCCGGTACTCACACATTTCCACCACGCTCCCCTCCGGACTCCCCCCGAGAGGAGGAGAGCAAGGACAGATAGTGCTGACCTCTTTGCGTCACCTCCAGCCCTTCTCCCTTCCACGCCCGGTCATTGCCAAGCGGGGACTTCCCTGCCCTGCCCTGTCTTGAAAGGGCTTTCCTTGCACCAGACCCCCCGCTCCACCTTGTCCTCAGAGACCCTCAGCCTGTCTTGCAGAGAGCACTTGACGTTGGTGTCTCAGAGGGGGCTGGAAGTCGGCTGTGGGCTTCTGGTCCCCAGACACCCCTCTGCTAATCTCCTCCTCCATCCGTCCCTGTTTCCACCTCTGCCCTCCTCCTCCTCGTTCCTGTCCCTTTAGCCCTTTTCTCTGCATCTGGGGCAGCAAACTTGCTTCCAAGTGCGCCGTTCTCAAGTATTTTGGCCTCAGGGTCCCCTTTACATTCTTAAATTATAGAGAAACCCCAAGAGCTTCTGTTCATGTGGGTTATTCATGTCAGTATTTACCCTATCAGAAATTGAAACCAGACATTTAAAAAATATTCATTCATTCGCTTAAATAACAACAGTAAACCCCGTATGTGTTAACATAAATAACATTTTTTATGAACAATAACTTTTTCCGTAGCAAATGAGAAGTCTGGCACGTTCTATATTTTTAAAAATTTTTTTAATGTTTATTTTTTGAGAGAGAGAGAGACAGAGCACGAGTGGGGGCGGGGCAGAGAAAGAGGGAGACACAGAATCTGAAACAGGCTCCAAGCTCTGAGCTGTCAGCACAGAGCCCAGTGTGGGGCTCGAACCCACCAGCCGTGAGATCATGACCTGAGCCGAAGTCGGACGCTCAACCGACTGAGCCACCCAGGTGCCCCTGGCATGTTCTATATTTTTGGAAATCCCTTCAGTGTCTGGTGTAAGAGGAGATGGTTGGATTCTCATATCTGCTTCTGTTTTCAGTGCATTGTAATATGTTGTCTTGGCTGAGGAATTTGAAGAAAATCTGGCCTCCTCCAAATGTATATTTGGAAAAAAGAGGGGTGTTTCAATAGCTAGATGATTATGAACATTGTGTTTTGATTCTACATGGAAACACAACAAATGGGTAATTTTTAAAAAAAAATTTTAAGGTTTATTTATTTTTGAGAGAGAGAATAGCAGAGGGGCAGAGAGAGAGGGAGACACAGAATCCAAAGAAGACTCCAGGCTCGGAGCTGTCAGCACAGAGCCCGACACGGGCCTCGAACCCGCGAACCACGAGATCATGACCTGAGCCGAAGTCGGACGCTCAACTGACTGAGCCACCCAGGAGCCCCACAACTAGTAATTTCTTAAAGGAGGTTGCACGGTGGAATCTGAAACCATATCAGTGAACTTTTCCCTCCCTTTTACGTTAAAATCCATTGATCTGTCTTGCACTCAAAGTGAATCTTTTATCCATGCGTAGTTTTCTTGCGCAGTATGCAGCTTCTGGTGACACGTCTCATTACATACCCAAAGGAATCACATTGACTCCGTCACCACTGATGTCATCAGCAACCTCTAAAAAAACATTAGCAAAAATAAATAAATAAATAAACAAACATTAGCATTGGCCACCATCAAACTCATGGCGGCAGACATAGATCTCCCAAGATCCTTCTTTGTGCTTGAAAGCTTGAATTTTGTCATTGGCCACAAACTGTCACTTGGTTCCTCGAGGTGACGGGCTCCCTGTGTTCATTCCTAAGACAATGTCTGGCGAACGCCCAAGTCAGAATAGTTTCTCTTTCATTTGTTCTTTTGAGTAAAAGTGACGTCCCGTGAAAAAAGCTTCTAGCTCCTGTTGGAAGTCCGGCGAGTGCCTGCTTCCCCTCATGAGGACCTTGGTGGTGTTTCAGGATGTAGCAGAAACGCTCCCTGTGTGTGCGTCCCGTCTCTCCATTCAGGCAGAATATTAAAAAGACACGTGCTCAAGGGTCAAGGTGTAATGAGTTGAATACCTGTCATTGTAGCATCGAGCACCTGCCTTTCATCAGGACACACTTCACCAAAGACATGCTCTCCTCTACTTCTGTGGCAAAGACTGGAATGGCAATTTGTACAGTTTGTCCCTCTGCCTTGACTCGTGCTGAGGTCCTAGCTGTTTGGCCATCATTGCTTTTCTACCGCCACTGTAAGCGTCAGAGAGCAAACAAGAGGAATAGCATTTCAGCATCATTACTAAAATAGTTTTGGCCTTGTGAACCCTTCGAAAGGGTCTTGGGTACTTCCAGAGGCTCCCGGACCGCGCCTTGAGGGCCACCGGTCGAAATCTTTGGGCTTCGTAAGCTCCGGTGGTAATTCTGCCCGTCTTCCTCCCCACTGTCCGTCTTCATTCCTTCCCATCTTTATTTTGGCCGTCTCTTCCCCACCTCGGTGAACATAGCCTGCGGTCTTTCCATCTCAGCCTGGTTCCTTCTTTATCCCCTCCTCTCTCTCAATCCCAGTGAACGTGCCAAACACACTTGTTTCAAGTTGTCTTCTGTTTCCGACAGTCGCACTCAGGGTGTCTTTTCTTCCTGACGGTGACTTAGACTTACGTCTGCCGAGGCACCCATAGTGGAGGGACATCTGGTCAACCCCGTGTTTGCAGTGAGCATCCTGTGTGCGTTGGCCTGGCCCCGCCCACCTCTTCCCTGTGCAGCTCCGGGTCAGGGTGATTGCCCTGCAGCCGGCAGGAGCCAGCTGGGGTCACTGTGCTGGACCAGCACGGGCTCTCCCCTTCTCTCCTTTCCTGCTGTCCAGCTATGAAGAAGAGAAGTTATGTTTTAGAGAATCTGAGGCAGAGTATAATTGTCCCTTCCCCCATAGTTGGCACTGTCTGTCTCCAGCCACCACCCCTGGGGCTCTTATTTCAGGGGACTTTGCATCCTGGGACGCACGGTGCCTCACATGTCCTCATCTTTCTTCCTGCCGTGCTGGGAGGTAGTTCTGCCTGGATAGAGAATGACGGGCATTCAGTAGGAGAGGGACACAGGGTGGCCTCTAGATTTTCAGACTGATGCAGATACAGTCCAAGTGGAAGTGGAGGAGGGTTGGCCCTCCCCTCCTGGCTTCAGGTGCCTGTACTTGTCTCTGTGATGCAAAGTCTACCTTGTCGACGCAGCTGTGTCTGGACTGTGGTCGGTGGATGACATCACCCACCCTGGATGCCACCAGCGCTCGGCCATGCTCTCTTGGTTTTCCAAGCTGACACAAGAGTTTCGTGTGTGTGCCTGTCTTCCAGAGTGTTTGAACGGAGAGTGGGGAGAGGGAAATCGGCGAAGTGCAGTCCGTGTCACTCAACGCGGGAAGTGGTGTCCCAGGGCCTCTTAGAGCTGCTGTCTTGTCCTTCATCTCCACCGGCCCTGGGGCGACCCCACCAGAAACCACGGGTGCAGAGTTCTCATAAGACCGTGGCACCCAGGGTCTGGTTTTTGTCACTAAGAATGGATCGGTTTGATCGCATCTAAAGCTAGAAATATTGCCTTTGGCAGACATTCTCTGAAATCCAGAACAAAAGGAATGTGTACATCTTCTAGTCCGTTCAGTTTGGGCAAGCTCACCAGAAAGGTCTGGGAGAACTGTGGTTTTCCCAGGACCCCGTGGTGCTGGATGGTTCCCGCCACGGACACTGTGCAAGCCAGGCCACGTCAGCCTTGCTCCGTGGGGGGTCAGCTCAACTTGCTTCCCTGCTGGAAGACACCCAAAACTGCTTGCGAGGGATCCCTCCTGGCTTGGCCCCCAGAACCCTGTGTGACCTCCTAGGGAGAGTGCAGTGACCTGTCACTTTCTCAGTAGGGTCACAGCCCAACCCCCAGTTACCTGGTGGTGTCCTCCACGTAGGGCCATTAGCTCAGGCTGGCGTGTGGAGCAGGTGTGACCGGCCATCAGGTCGGGCCGGCCCGTGGAGCAGGTGTGACCGGACGTCAGGTCGGGCCGGCACACAGAGTAGGTGTGAGCGGCCAGGCCCTCACAGAGAGGAGCGCCAGCCTCTCCCCCCTGATGAGCTTGATCTCTGCTTTCTCTGTGGCTTCTGCTGTGAACCGCTTAGATTTTTCTCTCTTCTCTAGCCTCCTCTTAGCCTGTGCAACAGATTGGTTCTAAGTAACCGCGTGGCCTGACCTGCTACACTCCCAGGACTCCCCCTGGCCCTGCGGGGCTCCCCAAAGCCACCAACCTCGCCCCCTCCAAGGAAGGCTGGACACCCAGTGGTGATGACTGCAGGCTCACCGTCGTCCGGTGAAGCAGGGAGCCCGAACACGGTCTCCGAGCTCCACGCTGTGCAGCAGAAAAGCTCCAGGGTCTGCGGGCTCCAGCTCAAACCTGGAGTTCAGGACCTCCTGTCCATCTTTCCGTTATGAGTTGTGTGAGGTTGCGTGGGCAGGTGACAGCTGTCCCAGCCTGTGATCCCGAGCCTTTATGGTTCTTGGCCCTTTGGCACCGGATGAAAGTCACGGGTACGCAGCCTGAAAATTTGTACAATTGTGAACAGTCACAGATATGTTTAAATGCGGTTTCATTTCTTTAAGGATCAGGTGTTTCAATTCCAGCCTACTCAGACTGCACATGTGTGAACCTGGCCTACTGGGCTCCCCCGTCGGGACAGAGTGGGAGCGTGGAGCTCCCATGGCAGAGAGTAAAGGCTGCCCGTGGGTGCCTTTACCCGAGTTGGGGTCACTTTTCTCTGCGTATGAGAAAGTTCCCGTGTGTGTGTGTGTGTGTGTGTGTGTGTGTGTGTGTGTGTTTGCACACACACGCGTGCAGGCGTGTAAAACCTGTTGCAAGAACAAGGTGTCTAATATAGTTCTTGTGTCTGATATCTTCCTTAGGGGATTGAAGGACAGGATTAAGAAAGAGAGCTCCCAGAGGGAGCTGCTCTCGGATGCGGCCCACCTGAATGAGACCCACTGCGCCCACTGCCTGCAGCCCTACCGGCTCCTCGTGGCCCCCAAGAGGCAATGCCTGGACTGTCACCTCTTCACCTGCCAAGACTGTAGCCACGCCCACCCGGAGGAGGAGGGCTGGCTCTGTGACCCCTGCCACCTGGCCAGGTGAGCCGGGGCGGGTGCCTGGGGTCCAGGTGACCCTGTGGGTTTCAGGGCCCGACACGTCCCCTCAGAGCGGCTGGCCGAAGAAAGGGTGGGCGGGGCCGTGGGCCTGAGCTCCGTGTGTCCGCAGGGTTGTGAAGATGGGCTCACTGGAGTGGTACTACGGGCACCTGAGAGCCCGCTTCAAGCGGTTCGGGAGTGCCAAAGTGATCCGGTCCCTGTGCGGGCGGCTGCAGGGTGGAGGTGAGGAGTGTACCTGTCTCGGGGGGGCTCTTTTCTGTTCCCAGGCGTGTTGTAATGTTTCCGGACCCAGCAGATCCTTTGGAATGTGTGTGTGCACCTGTCCATGCATTTCGGGTATTTTCTGTGAAACTGGCTGCTTTTCATGTGGTGCAAACTTCTGCACCCCCTGGCCTGGCCCCCTGGGAAGTCCTGCATGCTATTCACACCCCCCACTCTTTGAAGTCATATTTCTCCAGTGCTTCCTAGCAGGTTGAGAACTCAGAGCCAAAGATTCTGAACTTCAGTGGCTAATCGAATAATAAGGCACTTGTGTTCTCCAGACCCCTCCTCCCTGGGCGTCTGGTTTGGGGCCGAGACTCCCTCTTTCCACACACATTCCCTGGGAGTCGGGTGTTTATCAAGACTTAAAGAAATTCGTTCTAACTCAATGGTGTGTTTTCATATTTTGAATCCAAGTATTTATTTCATTTTTTTAACGTTTATTTATTTCTGAGACAGAGAGAGACAGAGCATGAGAGGGGGAGGGGAAGAGAGAGGGGGAGACACAGAATCCGAAGTAGGCTCCAGGCTTGAGCTGTCAGCACAGAGCCCCACGTGGGGCTTGAACTTGGGAACAGGGAGATCATGACTTGAGCCGAAGTCAGATGATTAACTGACTGAGCTACCCAGGCACCTGGAAGTCCCATTTCTTTTTAATAATTTTTTTAATGTTTATTTATTTTTGAGAGAGAGA